ATTATCATCATTTAAATGGCCATGATTTTCTAATGGTGGATAAAATTGTAAAAATTTATCATGCTGAAAATTATTATTATTATTATTATTAGTTTCATGATGATGATGATGATTTTGATGATGCTCAATTGTTTTATTTGCTAATTGACCATCATCAAATTGTTTTAGTTGATCAATTAGTTTTAATTCAACATTTTTCGATGATGTACATACTAGATTTTTTTTTAAAAATAAAATTAAAAAATTAAAATATATATAAATAAGTTAAATATAAATAGTTTAAATATATTAATTACTAAAAAAATAAATAAATAATTAATTAGTAAACTTACCTATGAATACAAAATAAATTTCTAGACAATAATAAAACAATAATAGATTTTGTTGTAAAAACATTTAATTATTTAATTTGACTTTTTTGTTAAAATTTTTTAATTAATAAACTTCTACTAAAATATAATTTTTTTTCAATAGAAAAAAGTATATATTGTTTTAACATTAAAATAAAGTATTTTTTTCAATCATTTCAATTATATAACTCATATAACTTATAAAATCAAATTCAATAAAGTTTTTTTTGTGTTTACAGATAATATAAGTTTTAAAATGTTTTTAAAATTTAAATTATATATTATTATTACTGTAAATATCTATAATAAATAATATAAGTTATTATTTTGCCGCAAATAAAGTTCACATTTATTGCATAATCTAAAGTTAATTATCAATATTTAGAGGAAAAAAATTATAGTTTATTATAGTTTTATTTAGTTTTTTTTAATGCAAAAAAAGTTCAATACTATTAATGCAAAAACAAACAAACAAACAATATATTTATCTAATTATCAAAAATGTTATGTTATATAATAATATACTGTTTATACATAAAAATTTATTACAATATAACTAAAGTCTATATTATTGCATWTATATATATTGTCTAATAAGTTAATTACATATAATTATAAACTATAGTTTAAGATAATTAATGTTATTTATTAGTGATATTTCAACAACAAMAAAAWATTACTATTGTTTTTTTTAGTTAATAATCAATAAGCAATTAATTATTAAAATTTTAATACTTTATATGTGTTGCTAATAAACATTGAGTCTTAGGTATTTAAACAAAAAACTTAAAATAATAATTTATATACAATATTATAATTTAATTGTTTTAAACTTTTTAAAATATAATGTTTATTTCAAAATAGTAATTCAAATATATATTTTCTAAATTTTTAATATTATTTTTTATTTAAACTTAAATGTTATTAATTTATATATTAGTTAATATGAACTTTTATTATAATATTTTATAAATAATTTATTAAAAAAAAGTTCATTGTATGAAAAACTATTTTATGAAATTAATTATTATATAATAATTATAAAATAAAATATATATCTTTATTAATTTTTATTTAAACTTAAATGTTATTAATTTATATATTAGTTAATAAAAAAAACTTGTATAAAAATTTCATTTACCAATAAAAATAATATTTATGAATTATTTATTTAGTAATTAATTATTATTTAACTATAATTATTTAACTATTTATGTTATTATACTAATTAATAACATTTAAGTTTAAATTAATTGAATAAATTATTTTTTCAAATAAGTATAAAAAGGAGTACACAAAAAAAAYTTTATAAAAATATCAAAAACCAATAAAAATATTATTTATTGTATTATTTATTTAGTAATTTAATTATTATAAATACAATTAAAACATWATAATAAAATTATAATTTATATGTAATCTTATTATTATTAATAATAATTTTACTTAAAATACATAAAATATTTTTTCATTAAATTAATAATTTTCAATTAACATTTAATATTTCTATTATTTGGACAACCTAGATAAAAATAAATTTTAAAAATATAAATAAATAATTAACCAGTTGAGAATGCTAGAAAGCATTTCCACACGAATTCCTAATCATAATTAAAAATTAAATTCAGAATGATAAAATAAAATCAACTATAGTTATGTAGGGTATCAAACGATTTAGTATGACAAAATAAACAACTATAGTCATGTACACATCAAATGATTCAGTATTACAAAATAAACTACTATTTTCCATAAAAAATAAACTTAAAAACGATAAAAAATAAAAAATCAATATTCAAAAAACATTTTTTACAAAAATTAAAAAAAAACACATACAAATTTTTTTACAATTAATTTTTACACATACACACCATTTTCTTCAATTTCCTAAAAAATAAACTTAAATAAGAAAAAACAAAAAAAAATTCAAAAAAACATTTGTACACATAGTGGATTCGAACCTATGTCCTACACATACACAGACAGACCACAGACAGACAGACAGACAGACTTATAGAATGCATATACGTATTCCTTTCAGGAATTCGTGAAAATATTATAATTTTTATATACATTGATAACAAAAACAATTATATTATCAAAAAAAAACATTTTACTAAATATAAATACCATTGCCTTCAACATAGCCATTGGCTAAACTAGCAATTTAAATTATCGCAACAATAATCATTGTTGACATCACATGTTTGATATTGTTGAATACAAGCTAAATTAATTAATTAAATTTAAAAAAAAAATAAAATTAAAATCAATATATATATATACTAACCATCAGCTAATGGCATCCATATAGCTATCAATTGTATGATAACTACAATACTGATGACCAATAAMYGCATCAATTGATTGTTGTTGTTATTGTTGTTAATCATTATCTATTAGTTTCTAAAGTWTTTTTTWWAAAAAAWTATTCAAATTATAAATATATATTGATATATGAAAAATATTTACTTGAATTAAWWAATTTTTTTATTTTACTAAATGTTTGTTTCTTATATACCTTAAAATCTCTCTCTCTCTCTCTCTCTCTCTCTCTCTCTCTCTCTCTCTCTCTCTCWCTCTTTCTTTCTCTCTATCACTAAATCATGTAATTATAAACTAATTAAAAACATTTATAATTAATTTTAAACATTTGCGTCAATTAATAAAMWTATTTGAATAATAATTATACAAAAAGTGAAGTAATARGAWATAATAAAATCTATAATGTTTTGAAATAATATTTTTTTTAATAAAATTTTATTATAACGTTAATTATAATTGAAACTATAATTTTTATATTACAGAAAAACAACTCTAATAAAAAACTATTTTTTTAAATTAAATTATTAAATTAAGTTTTCATTTATGTAATAATTMTWTTTTTTAATAATATATTTMTATATATAAAATTAATTATTTTATTTGTTATAAACTCTATTATAAAATGTAATATTTTTATGTATTTTTTAAAAATAATTTTTAATATAAAATTTAATATATTTATGTTTTTATATAAATCTCTCTYTTTTATCACTAAAAACAACTATTWTTWAAATATTWATTAATAMATAATAAAATTATATATAAAATATATTATATAATAATTGTTTAAACATATTTGTTTAAAATATATGTGTTAAAAAAAAAGATAATAATGAGAAAATTTTAACTAATAATTTTTWAAAAATATATTTKMTTTGTTAAAAAAATTAAAAATCAATGAAAAAATACATGTATATTATACAAAAATTTTATATATCATTTTTTTTAATAATAAAAATATCTATTAAATGATTCATAAAAAAATCTATTAAATGATTCATAAAAAAATTTTCTTAAAATCATTTCTAATATATTGTTATTTATTTAGTTTTTTTTTAGTTAAAAATATTTCTATGTCATTGTAATTGTTATCTACTGTATACCWGTAATACTAATTTCATATTTTCATTACTATCTAAAATAATAAATTATTTTTAAAAAAAATAATTTACTTGTATTTTTGTATAGCTAACAATTATTTTAGTTTAAAATATTTKTTTATAATATTTTGATTGATATTTTTTAATAATACTAATAAAATGTCCAAAACTGTACTTGCTACTATTATRATRATAATAATAATTATTATCATTATGGTTAACATAATAAACTGCACTAAAAGTAATATAGTTGAAATATATAAAATTTATTTTAAAAAAATAATTATTAACTATTTAATTTATTTTGAATTAATATTAGTAATATTAGTTAAAATTTATTTTTGTGTATTAATTTTATTTTTTGAATTATTTCTAATATTAAATAAATATTTTCAMTATTCATGCAATTCCCGGTAGAATTTATAGAGATGTTAACGCTATTGATGRCCAAAAAATMAATTAAATAAAAAATTTTCTAAAATAAWTTMAAAATTGTAAAACTATTTTTTATTTYTATATCTWWWTTATTTAATTACAATGTTTATAAAAAGATAATCTATTATTTTGTCAGATAAACTAATAAATTGATATATTTTATTAAAAATTATTTATTGAAATTTATATTATAATTTAATAATTTAATTGACATTTTTAAATACGATATAGATTTATTTATWTTTAAAAAATTAGTCTAATATAATTTATATAATTTTTATTAATAAATCTATAMTAATAGTATTGTTTTAATTTATTTGAATTAATTGAAACTTTATAAAAAAAACAAAACATAACAAAAAATATMAAATAATTAAACAAWAMTAATAAACAAATATTTTTTTTTGTTTTTATAATAAYTAATAATTATGTAAAAATTTTTTAACATCAAAAAAAWTTATAGTAAAATAATAATAATTATAATTATTATTATTTTACTATAAATTATATAATTTATATAATTAATAAATCTATAATAATATTTATAGTATTAATTTATTTATTGTTTTTTAATTTATTTGAATTAAYTGAAACTTTATATAWAWAAAAAACAAAACAAAAATATCAAATAATTAAACAAAACTATTAAATTAATAATATTTTTATGTTTTTTAATAATAACAATAATAATTATGTAAAAAAAAATTTTTTAACATCAAATAAATTTATGTTATTATAAAAATAGTAATTATTATTATTTTTATTTTAAATAATATTAATTTTTAGCCCTACAACTAGGTGMTTCATTATCAGGATCATCCTCATCATCAAAACAATCAAAATCAGGATTACAACATTTAGCTTCATTCAAATCGCAATCATCATAATCATTTGTACAAGCTATTAATATTTAAAAAAAAAATAAATTATTCAATAGTTAAAAAAAATTAAAAAAAACTATTATAAAAAAGATTAAAAAGTGTATGTGTATGTGTATGTGTATGTGTATGTGTATGTGTATGTGTATGTGTATGTGTATGTGTATGTGTATGTGTATGTGTATGTGTATGTGTATGTGTATGTGTATGTGTATGTGTATGTGTATGTGTATGTGTATGTGTATGTGTATGTGTATGTGTATGTGTATGTGTATGTGTATGTGTATGTGTATGTGTATGTGTATGTGTATGTGTATGTGTATGTGTATGTGTATGTGTATGTGTATGTGTATGTGTATGTGTATGTGTATGTGTATGTGTATGTGTATGTGTATGTGTATGTGTATGTGTATGTGTATGTGTATGTGTATGTGTATGTGTATGTGTATGTGTATGTGTATGTGTATGTGTATGTGTATGTGTATGTGTATGTGTATGTGTATGTGTATGTGTATGTGTATGTGTATGTGTATGTGTATGTGTATGTGTATGTGTATGTGTATGTGTATGTGTATGTGTATGTGTATGTGTATGTGTATGTGTATGTGTATGTGTATGTGTATGTGTATGTGTATGTGTATGTGTATGTGTATGTGTATGTGTATGTGTATGTGTATGTGTATGTGTATGTGTATGTGTATGTGTATGTGTATGTGTATGTGTATGTGTATGTGTATGTGTATGTGTATGTGTATGWTTATATATAATAGTTACCAGTGCATTTTCCATAAAAATATTTAGGATGMTCAGCTACACATTTCCCGCTACAACATTGATTTGGACGGTCCACTGCACATCTAGCATTTGTTTTACCACATTTAGCTATAATAATATTTTTTAAAAAATATTATTAAAAAAATAAGTAAATAGTTTTTTTTAAAGTAAAATAAATTTTTTTAAAATTTAAACATTTTTTTAGAAATTATTAAAATAAAAATAATTCATAAAATTCAACTTACCATCAACACTACCTTGATGATTRTTTGTYAATAACAATTGTACGATGAATATATAGACTACTAATAAACTAATTAGTTTATTAATATTGATCATTGTTAGTTTAATTAGTTTTTTCAAATTTTAATTTTAGTTTTAACTTAATTTTAGTGAAAAAACTTAAATTAATTGTAAATTTAGTTTTTTTTATTCTGATAATCAATATATGCTAATATAATAACAATTATATTTTATATTAATAATGAAAAAATTAAAACTTTTTTTATAAGCTTCTTATATACTTTAAGTTTATATATTATTTTAATAAAAAATATTTTTTATTASTAAATATTTTGTTGCAATAATAAAATATTATTTTTTTTTTGAAATAAGTTTAGTCATCATAAAAGTTAATGATAAAAATTTATWGTCATTGAATTTTTTKTTTKTTTAATAAGTATATTAAATAAAATAATAATTTAATACACAATTATATAGAATTTGATTWAAAATTATTWGATTTGTATTTTTTTKTTGAATTYATAAGTATTTTAATTAATATTTAAATTTTTTAAAATATAAATTATAACTCATTTAAAATTTTTATACAATTATATATTATTTTAATATTCAATAAAAAAATTTAAAAATCTTAAATAATAATTTTAATCAAAATAAAAATACATTGCATACTATTGAATAACATATACTATGTAAATGAAATATTATAGTAATAATAATAATAATTTATTAAATAKTATMACAAAAAAATGTTTAATATTATATATATATATATATATATATATATATATATATATATATATATATATATATATATATATATATATTCTAGAGTACAATGAATGTAATGCTAAAAATTTTTTATTATAATAAAATTAAAATTAATTAAACTGTTTAATGATTATCTAAAAAAAAATTTTTTATATAATAAATTTTAACTAAGCTTAGTCATCTATTGTTTAAAAGTCGATGTAATAATTATTATAGATATAAAATTTCAAAAAAATATCATTATTATTAATTCAATTAAATTGATATTTAGAAATTAATGTTTAATTAAATAATATAGAAATAAGTTTTAGTTTTTAAAAAAAACAATTAATTTAAACTGCTTTGTTAGTTTGTTATATTTTTATTATTTTTTTAAAAAATTAAAATATTTTAATTAATATAAATAAAAYTATATATTTTATATAAAACAAAAAATATTTAAAAATCTAAAAWACTAATTGTTATAAAAAATAAATAAATTGCTTAACATTAAATGGWGTATATTTTAGTAAATGAATAGTAATAATAATGATAATAAAATATATTAAATATTATAACAATTAAAAAAATGTTTAATTATATATTCAATAGATACTAATGAAAAATATTTTTTTTAATTATAAAAAATACTAATATAATTTATTATTTAATTATTTTCTAGAAATTTTTATATATATATAATATATTTTAACTAAGCTTTGTCATCTATTGTTAAAGTCAATGTAATAATTATTATTATATATGGAATTTATTTATTTTTTTAAAATAATTATTATTATTAATTCAATTAAATTGTTATTTAGAAATAAATGTTTAACTAAATAATTAGTTTTAGTTTTTTAAAACAATATTTTAAACTACACTTGTTTTAGTAGAGTCTTTATATTTTTATAAATATTTAATAAATTTTTTATAGAAATTTAATATTCTTTGACTTATAATTGTTATTCAAATGTATAATAATAATAAAATTAATTAATTAATTGAAAAAATAATTGTTTTTGTATTTAAAAATAAAAATTATCATCTAGTTTAATACAAATATTTTTTGTTTATTAATTATTAACTAATTAAATATTTAGCTATATTATAATATATTAAAAATATGCAAGGTCATTTTTTTTTGCTTTAATAATAAATATTAAATAAATAAGCAATCATTTTGTTTTTGTACAACTAATTTTTGTCAACAATAAAATAAGAAAAAAATAATTTAATTAAATTTTTTATATAGCAATTAAGTAAAAATTTAGAAAAAAATTAAAATTAAAAAATCTTTTTAATCAAAATTTTTATTTAATGTAAATGTATTAGTCATAAATATTAGTAGTATATTGACTTATTTTTTTTAAAAAAATTATAAATAATCATGGTAGTATAATTAATTTAAATGACAATGAAATTCCAATAGATAAATAATTATTTTTTTTAATATATATATATTGCAATAGTGGGTCAAAATTTATGATTCAAAATGCACTTAGAAATTATTATTAAATAATTTTTTAAAATTTTTTCCTTATATTATACAACACATAAATAACAAACAAAATAAACGATATTTTATAATTAATAAACATTTGCATGTATTTATTAAAGTATTGAAATTTTGTTTGTTATAATTTTATATTATTTATATTGAAGCCAAGGTTGTATTTACTAATTATATTGTAATGTATTTTTGTTTTATTTTTCTCTGAAAAATTATTGCAATAATTATCATTATTTTTTGTTAAAAATTTATAAAAGCACTAAAATGTTATATTGAAAATCTAGAGGTAAACACCTTGTTTTTAACAGAGTTTTATTTTGTTTTTATTCAATATTGCAGTATTAAAATAATGCACTGAAATGTTATATAAAAAAGTGAATAGTAAACTCCTAGTTTTAATAGTGATTAAATCCTGACTCAATGTGACACACTTTCTCCTCACGTACACTTTAGTATAAATAGAGGTGTCTCTCAAACACCAAAATCAGTTCTCCACTTGGGGTCATACTACGTGTATTACTTTAAAGTGAATTAATAAAAGTATTTGCATATTACTTTGTGTGTGTGTTTACTTTGTCATCGCGAATCAACTGTTTGGACATCTTAAGGGACGCCTTTGGACCTATCCACAACTACGCGGACAGCTAACAACTATTACGTAAGTAAATATTTTTATTATGAGAACTCCGGACCCCGTATCCGTTAACGGACGGCTCTTAGTGTACCTTATAGGCCCACGGTCCTTATAGGCCCACGGTCCTTATAGGCCCACGGTCCTTATAGGCCCACGGTCCTTATAGGCCCACGGTCCTTATAGGCCCACGGTCCTTATAGGCCCACGGTCCTTATAGGCCCACGGTCCTTATAGGCCCACGGTCCTTATAGGCCCACGGTCCTTATAGGCCCACGGTCCTTATAGGCCCACGGTCCTTATAGGCCCACGGTCCTTATAGGCCCACGGTCCTTATAGGCCCACGGTCCTTATAGGCCCACGGTCCTTATAGGCCCACGGTCCTTCCAGGCCCACAGTCCTTCCAGGCCCACGGTCCTTCCAGGCCCACGGTCCTTCCAGGCCCACGGTCCTTCCAGGCCCACGGTCCTTCCAGGCCCACGGTCCTTCCAGGCCCACGGTCCTTCCAGGCCCACGGTCCTTCCAGGCCCACGGTCCTTTCCAGGCCCACGGTCCTTCCAGGCCCACGGTCCTTCCAGGCCCACGGTCCTTCCAGGCCCACGGTCCTTCCAGGCCCACGGTCCTTCCAGGCCCACGGTCCTTCCAGGCCCACGGTCCTTCCAGGTCTTCGGATCTGTGACTCTATACAGGAATGAAACCCTACACGGACCTGAAACCCAGACGGATCTGAAACCCTATACGGATCTTGAACCCTATACGGATCTGAAACCCTAAACGGTTCTTAAACCCTGCACGGATCTGAAACCCTACTCGGCTCTTAAACCCTACACGGATCTGAAACCCTGCACGGATCTGAAACCCTAGACGGGTCTGAAACCCTAGACGGGTCTGAAACTCTAGACGGGTCTGAAACCCTAGACGGGTCTGGAACCCTAGAAGGATCTGAAACCCTAGACGGATCTGAAACCCTATTTGGGTGACAGACCCTATTTGGGTGACAGACCCTATTTGGGTGACAGACCCTATTTGGGTGACAGACCCTATTAGGGTGACAGACCCTATTTGGGTGACAGACCCTATTTGGGTGACAGACCCTATTTGGGTGACAGACCCTATTTGGGTGACAGACCCTATTTGGGTGACAGACCCTATTGGGTGACAAAACCTATTTGGGTGACAGACCCTATTGGGTGACGAAACCTATTTGGGTGACAGACCCTATTTGGGCTAAAGACCTAATTGGTCAGAGTAGATTAAATAGGAAACCGCTCGTTCCTAAGCCACGCATTACTATAAGTTATCACTAAAAGAGTCAAAACCGTAAGGTAAGTGGTGTATTGCCGAGTGTTTGGTTTACATAAGGAAGGTTAGACAAACTTAGATACCCGTAATATACCCACTTCCCCTACATTTGGTGAGCAACGATGAGGGATCAAATGATACCCGAGACTGGCGTTGAGTCCGAGCCGAATGGCTTTGGGCGTAGCCAGTATTCAACATAAATTATAGGCCTGTCCGAGCATGATGTCTTAGGGCGTTGCCTATAATACATTTATCACTACGTAGTATGGAACCACAACCTTCAACGTCATATGAAAGTCCAGACTTTGCCCCGCTTAGCAAAGAAGAAATGGACGACTTCTTCACTACATTATCTACATACGATAACAATAAAATATTAGAAGAGATGCACTTACTCGGATTTGATGAACTGTTTTCCGAAACGTCACCTATTTCGAGTACAGATATCGATGCGATTTATAGTGAGTCATCACCAAAACGCATCAAAACTGAACCTTGTGATGAAACCATTACTAATATCAATGCGGGTGTTGAGCCAATTGTTCAATTTGTTGAAAATTTTCACGGCTGTTATGAAAACGAGATAACAGTTAAGACCGAGTCTGACCTACCCCAGGTTTGGGATACTGGTCTGCGGGCACCAGTGGATGGTAACTGGTGGTTATCTGATCAGTTGAAACCTGTAGATATACATTGGATGGAACAACTTAAACCTGATGTCATCACCGAATATTCACCAATAAATCCAAAAATGGCACCAACGGAAATTTTATTGACCGATAATTGGCACACATACGACACGTACGTTACAGCTGTTGGTATCTCGTCAAGAGAAATTGTCATTGGACTCAACACTGGATATCT